AGGGACATCCCTATCTGTGCTCCCTGTGCTGTGTGGGGTAGTATATTTCTTTTGGAATCTGAATAGCTACGACCCTCCATTTTATATTCCTCATTCCCTTCCTATTCCATCCTTCCTCCTACTAACATTTAACGCTTCTTCATGTTTCCTTGAGAACCTAGTCATTCAATAGTCGTCTAATTGGATGCCAGGTTGAATCGGGTTAAAGAAAGAAGGCATTGCAAGTAGCTGAGAGTAAATAAGCTCTTTCGCATGTCTTCACTTGCAGTATACAGAGGAGAAATATTTATCCTTCCAATGAAACTTCATGCTCATGATTCATAAGTTGACATTTGCAGCCCATTTCATTCCAGATACAGCCGGAGCCACAGCCACACCCACCCCGTGCCTCGGATCGGACGGATTCCAAGGGTAACGACCGCTCCCGGACCTCGACCACGATTTAGAAAAAAGGTGAGCACCCAGGAGGATAAAGTAGATGTATCTAAATTTATTTCCTTATTTTAAATGTAGACTTTCAAATTTAACTTTACCATACCCACTACACAGAGCATACGTAATTTGTAGAGTGCACCCTGTGCAGCTATGCAATCACTGACGGTTCTGGGAAATGGTTGCCATCTTGGGATGAGAGAAACTTCTTGAACTCCCATCAGTTTCTATCAACGAATCGTGTTTGATATAGCTGGATCCATACTCTAAATCAGGGGTGTCCAATTGGCGGCCCGCGGGCCGGATCCAACCAGCCAATTCATTTTCTCCGGTCTGCAAATTCCTCTTTGACAGTTGATTTCGGAAAATTGTTGCAAATTTCACTCGTTCGCATTAAAAATGTGGTGTGAGATTCGTTAGTGAGACCTCCTAACGCACCTGAACCAAATCATTTGATCCCCGCCAAATTGAGTTGGACACCCCTGCTCTAAAGGGTATCCAACGTGGTACAGATTGTCTCAACTGGACATTAGCGAATATGTCCTACAGGTTATGAATCTAGGATATACCAGTATAGCAGAGGAAAATATAGGCCTTTTCGTAGGTCTCTGGACTTGTATCGTTTACATTACCAAACGTTTCCTTCGCCTTACCCTTGTAGCAATGCAAATCCCTTGACCATCAGGAAGGCCAAAACTTGTATTTGCTATCTATTTTAGTATAGAATACTTGTCTAGTCATTTTATTTCGGGAGTACCACCGACGAGGAAAGGAGATTGCCAAATCTCTTTTCATAGGGCGAGTAATTTCAGAAATTACATGAGTATTTTATATCTTGATTTTAATGGAAGAGGAAAAAACACTGCATCTACTACTGCATCATAAGAACAATGTCGCACATTTTTTTGTCAATATTTTTCTCGTCAGACAGTGCCAAAATTACATTGCCATGGATTTCAATTGCAGTGTCATGGAACGACTTCAACTCCTTCAACTGCTATAATTTAAGCCTCAATCTAAAGTCTCATTAAGCCTGTTCAATTAGAAATAGAAAAATGAAGTACACAGGTCAGGTGTTCATTATTGAACAGGTGTTCATTATTCACGATTTTTTAAATAAACTGAAATGAAGTGAAGAGCAGAACAATTAAGAGCCCTAAGGTTATCCAAATGAGAAGCATCTCAAATGAGCCAGAGTCGTGTAAATGAGGAGGAACTAGTAAAGAACGTCATTTTTCTTCCTTGACTATAGGAGCCAGAGAGGTTCACAAATACCAGCATTGACGATTCGGACACAGACTCAGAAGACGAGTTGGATTACCAATGGAAACCGACCCCCAGCGGACGGCAATTTAAAGACCAGAGCGACGGCGTGACTTGGTGGGCGAAAATAACTAGGGATATGAAAGAATTCGCTGGGGTCAAAGCAAATGACAACATTCAGACAGTTTTGTCCCAAACGCCAAAACTTCAATTTTATTCACTCAATCAACGAATTCAATACTCTGATCACATCCCTTAGGTTTTAATCACAGCTTCAAGTCGCCTAGACATGCTTTCCACTAATCTTCGTTTCTTGGTCGATCTTTTTATTCTCTGCTTGAATCCGCTCCCACACGTCTAGCATACCTTTGGACTGTTCCTCGCACTCTCTTGAGGTGTGCCCAGAGATGCTCGATGGGTTTTAGGTCTGGAGACTGAGCTGGCCACTCCAGGACCTCGAACGGCTGTTGATTCAGCCATTGTTGGACGCACTTCGCCTCATGTTTTGGGTCGTTGTCAAGCTGGAAAATAATTCTGTTGACGTTGAGATCATACCAGTCGATCGTTTGCAGCAATTCGTCCTCCAGGATGGATCTGTAGAGCTGCTGATCCATGGTGCCGTTGATCTTGCACATGTGGCCGATTCCTTTGGTTGTCATGCAGCCCCTGATCATGATCGGGCCGCCTCCGGGCTTGACAGTCTGCTTGACTTGTCGAGCTTGCCGGCGTTCCCCCTCACGCTTCCAGTACCAGGCACGTCCATCTGAGACAAAACGGTTGATCTTGGTCTCATCCGACCAAATGACTCGCTTCCAGTCATCAATTGTCCAACCCGTGTAGCTTCTGGCGAACTCCAGGCGGGCATTGATATTTGCTGGCGAAATTTTCGGATTTTCTTTCTTCTCTGCTGCACTTAAACCAACTTCGTGGAGGGCGCGGCGAATGGTCTTCACGCTAACCTCGACTCCAACGTCTTCTATGAGCTTTTGGTGACCTGTGTGGCTGTTTCCAGCTTCCCAGAGGTGATAGCACGTACGCAGAACTGCTTGTCTTGAGATGAGAGCTTCTGGGGACGACCGCCTTTCGACCCTCTGCGGTCAGGAAAATGCTGCTTCTGGATCTTTTGAACAGACGATCTACCGACGTTGCATCCTTTGGCAAACTCCCTGTGGCTATAGTCCTCATGGAGAAGCGAGAGGATGTTTTGTAGGGTGCCGTCAGAAAATGGACGCATGATGACTGAATTCAAGAATGTCACTGAAGAAGAATGAAGAAAGCCCAGAGGAGGACGGCTTCTAAGTTATAGGCCACAAGCTCATCTAAGCACGTGACGAACACAAGATATTCGCCCAACCTTAGTGTATACAAATTCGTGATTCTCTGAATAATTTGTCGTGTTCCACGTGACAGCATGCACGCGATATGGGACCAGGGCACCAGGGACAAAACTGTCCGAATGCAGTCATTTGCTTTCAGTTGAGCTGCATGGATTCTGGTGAAACATTAGACACTTATGGAAGAAGAGTTTGGCTACACAGGGTATGTCGCACAGAGTAATTCAGTTAACCTATACCGAGAAAATTGGTCCCGAAGCGAAAGGTGCCGAACATGCTAACAGTTTTCTCCCTCAGTGTAACCCATCCTTACCCTACCAAGGTAGATGAGAACTGTCGAGATTTAGGGCATTGACAATGCATATGTCACGAGTGTTAATTGTGGAGAAGGCGAGATCCATATTGGCGCAAAAGAACAACGCAAGGTGATTAGTCTTTTTTTTCCCTCTCTAGAGTAAGAATTATGGATCCACTATCATTGTAGCAATCACATATGAGCGATTAACATCTACAGCAATTCAAATGAATCGGAGATAGACTGAAGACATGGTCGACCAGGATCGACAGGATATCTTTTACTTTAATTCGAGGAGGTCTAAAGCTGCGGTGGCGGAGGTGGTGGTGACCGTGGCTGTCACCCCCAACGCGCAGGCCTACGATGCAATCCCATTCTATACTTTAATTCGAAAAGCCCCAGCGCGCGAGGCCTACAACATTACGTCACTTCAGGCCATAGACTAGGTCATCCACCCCTCTAAGCGCCAGGTCCATGAGGCTATGCTATTCTAGGCCATAGGTTTGGCCATCCAACGCATTTAGCACCAGGTAGGGTAAAAGATCCAGTGATGGGCCACTTCCCAGGAAAATTCCAAAAACTAGGCATTTGATCCATGAATATCTCTGAAGTGTCTATGTGCTTGAATGCTGCTAGCATATGTCACAACATGGGTAGGCTTGCTATGGAAGCCTAGCTATTGGAATTTTTATGTCCTGTGGCCCATCACTGGGGACCGGTCCATCACTGGGTCTTTTACCCTATATCCAACTATATCAGAGTCATAGGCTTCATACTTGGGTGCGTCAATCAAAGGGTGGTAATAACTGAATGCGTGTCACGTTTTCACTGTTCGACTGCAAGTGCTCCATTTGAATACATTCTTTGATCAAGTGTTTTTTTCGGTATTTATTTTTTTTTCCGTTAGGTCAGGCGTGGCGGTTTGGGACATCAAACGCAAACAGAAAACTATTGCATGGATGCCCATGCAATAGTTTTCTGTTTGCGTTTCATGTCATAGCCGACTTATTGGAGTTCTCATGATTGATTAAGTCAAAATAACGTAAATTCTTTGTTTCATACGTCGCACAAATGGACCGCTCCTATCACAATGGTGGCGATTTTTGCGAGGTGAGGTTGAATGCGGAGAAGAAATGTTGGAGGAGCTCCCACGGGACGGCGATGAGGCAGTTGTTGCCGGTATAAAACGGTTGGTGCTGGCGCGGAAAAAACGTTTGCCACGGCAGTTGCGGTACGAAGTGCCTAAGTCGGTGCTAGCCGTAATGGTTAAAATCGGTGAACAGGAAGCACATGTACGTAGGGAGCTTAGGACCGCTCATACCGCTGAACAGCAAGAGGCATCGAATGCTGAGCTTCAGAATAGGGGAGCCGTGCAGCCTGCTTAGCAACTTGATGCAAGGTTGGCATTTTCAGGAATTAGTCTTTAGCATTGTGCCGCACGTGCACTAACTTCCGTCTGTGCCGTCAAACAATTTCTTAGAGACGGTCAGTACTCTTCCAGAATCATTTGTGTCTGTACCATGCACTAACGCGAATGACCGATGAGCTAATCGGTGATGCAAGAGTGTTGAATGTGTTGGTAAGGTGAAATCAGCAATGTCGTCTTGAGTCTCAAGAAAACGTGCTAAACCGAGGCGTTCACAATTGCGATTGTGACAATCAACTCGAATATCATGATGGTGGTGTTTAGGAGCAGAATATCCCTGTGTACTGTAAGCTATATGTATATAAATGTAATGAAGCGGTTCAGTTCCGAATGGGTAATGCAATGAACAGAGGATTATCTAGAAGACATTTTGCTCTGAATAAACGATTCAAATTTCCACATACTAGACGGCCAGCGTAGCGGCCGCAGGCCGCTAGTCAATAGGCTAATTTAGTGGCTTCGTATCCAGGCGATGTGACTGTCATCAGTCCATAGACCAGTAACACTTGAAGCTGCTCAACTATTAAGTTAAGTAAGTAAATATGCTTTTTTTACACCAACATATCTTTGCCTGAATTGGGAATTCACGATTTTTCTTCACAATTTGGAAAATTTTACCAGTTTTGAAAAGGAACTATCGCCATCTTAGCTGGCCTTAAGATTCTAGCTGCATCATGACACCAAATTGGAGTCATTCAAAAAAATATCTTCCCTTGATGTGTGAACAGTTGTTTTATTAAGAACAACCTAGTAAACATCAACCTAATGAAAGTCTTGTTTTTCCTTTATTTCTCATTTATTAATATTCTTGTTCAAGGATTTTCTTGGAATAAACTTTTCACTATTCATTGCAGTCTAAAACTTTCGCGTCTTAAACGTTTTTGGGAATCATTAAAAACCAATTAGTCACGAAATATGGAGACATGGCGTGATTTATCGATGCAATTGAATTATTTAATACAAAATATCCACTTTTCAACTCACCATGTGTTCCTTCATCGCTTTGAAAAGAAGTTGCACTTATTCCAAATGAAACAACAATAAAGCAAGGGTTTTTCTTTGTATCTTCAGACTATGAGAAATGCTGATTTAAAGGAAAATTGTAAATGATGATTCCAAGTTTCATTTCAGGTTGAAGATAAAATGCTACTAAGTTGTTTGCCATGGATCCCTAGAGCCCTAGGACACTGTACAGGGATAGTGTAACATTATTTTGAAAGTCACTCACTTGTGACTGCACAGAGAACTTTAAGAATACAATTTTAACCACAAGACTCTCACAGTAAATCCACCATTCTGCAGTACATTGCCAAATTTAGGGAAGGGGGATCTGTGACTGATAAGAAGCACAACCGCGCACCATTAGTGCGAACAGTGGAGATGATAGCCACCCTTAAGCTCAGCGATTCAGCAAAGCCCAAAGAAATCCACTCACCCCATGTCGAGCCAGACAGGTGTTAGTGCAACTACCGTTCATCGCATACTTCATAAATATCTAAATGTGCTTGTTTGCTGTTCAGATTGTTGATTCCCGTGGAGATGGGAGAACAGCATGAAGTGTATAATGCTAGATGCGGCAATACGCCTAGCAACCCTGCCTACGCGGCCGGGAGCAGCCACTTTCCCCCATTGTCTACTATGCATACATCTTCATCAACGAGGGCTGTAAAGGAAGTAGATGTTTTAGTCTTCAGCTGGCACCCCGACCACGGCGGGAAGCGACATATGCGCAGTGATTCGTGTTGTCCTGCTGCTATGGATATTACGGACAGACACAAATTTAAAAAAAGTGACCGACAGGTCGCAATATCTGTCATTTTCCCATTATACCTATGGGAATAGCATATACTGAAATTTCTATTCATGTATTGACAGTGGACAATTTCTTTCAATACCATTCCCAACTTAGCATCTTAATGTATCTGATACCTATGAGGCAGCAAGAAAATCAGCGATTTTTCCTAAATGACCCATACAAAACCTTCTTTAGCTCTGCTACTTGAATGTTCTGTGCAAATTTTAGCTCGCAGCTCCTAGCACCATTGGGAAGAAGGATATAACAAAATTGTTTGGTATTAAGTGGCAGCAAAAATAGCTTCTTTTTCCTAGCGCTATCTATGGGTTGTTGTTCGACTTGACCTTTAGTGTCTCAGACTTCAGTGGGCAAGAAATTTTTCCTTCTAAGGTTTGCATTAATTTGCTCTAAGGAACATATTTTAAAAGCTGCTTCCGGATTAGGGGTGTTATCAATTATCACAGGAGTAAACAACGTGTTAACACCTGCCCTGAGACCAGCATCTCCATAACTTTTTAAGAAAATAAGCATTAGGCCCATCATCATCTCAGTCAAACTACAGCTGTATCTAGCAATTACTTTGAAAGTTATGGCCAAACAAAGTCGGATGGTAACAAGTAACCATCCAAATTTATTTGACCATATCTTTTGAAAGGACTCTTGGACGCAGATGATATTTCAGAGAGAGGCTCATGGGCCTTAGAGGTTTTTTTCTTCTCATTCTTGAAAAGTGGCATGACCCATAGGAGAGTTAGTGATATCAAGAGGCGATTTCGCCCATTTCGATATCACGTGTCGAGGTCGAGCGTTCCTTAATTTTATGGTAGGCCTAACCCTCTTCAAGCTGTATATTTTTGTATTTTTTTTTTTCACTATCCTAGTTGCTTACTGTCTAGTACCTACGTCAACATTGCCCCCCACCTTCTTGCCTGTCCATGAAAGCATCTAGTTTCTTCTTAAAGATAGTCACAGAAGGGGCAGCCACTACTTCGTCATCTAACGCATTCCACGCGTTCACCACTCTGCAAGTAAAGAATTCCTGTCTCGACCTGAGCCGCACCTGCGGTTCAAGCAACTTAAGTCGGTTACCTCTCGTTCTCTTGCTGTCATCAAACTGGAAAAACCTACCACACTCGACATTATCTATTCCTTTAATTATCTTGAAAGCCTGGATGAGATCGCCCCTCCTTAACCTTCGTTCGAGCGAGTACAGNGTGCTGGTGACTTGTGTAACAATGGGATTGGCAGAATATCTCCCGGATTCCTTGGACCTTTTCTCTCGGTCCTCTTCCTCGCCCTCGTCCCATTCCGGCTCCTTTGAGCTCTATTCCATTGCCTTTTTCGTTCCCATTACAAGGATTCATTTCGCGTTCCTCCTTTCGCGCGAAAGCAAGCATTTTTTCGAGAAACCTAAACTGTTGATTCCGGGAATAAAAGCACGATAACACGATTCCGAACGGTTCATTTCACACGATCGCTGATGTCGAGGAGCGTTACCTGCCTAAGGAGTAAACAATGAGCAAACAATTACCTCATCCAAAAGATGAAGGCATCGAAAAGGACATGTAGGCATTGTCACTCGTGAGGAAACTGTCTTGGTGTGATCCAGATTTCGCCCTCATCGTCCACTGCTTTCATGATTGTTAATCGCATTTCCGCCCTTCTTAAAGATCGGTACTACGTTTGCGCGTCTCCAGTCCTTAGGTACTTCCCCGCGCGAGAAGCATAGATATGGAGCGCTGTTGCCGACTACAGCGCTAGGGAGACAACACCATCTGGCAGTATCGAAAAAAAACCGCCTTGACTTATGAACCTCTCTGCCAAATATCAGCAGCATTTGACTGCACCTTGAAAAGTTACTACGAAATATCTGATAAAATATTGTGGTGACTTTATAATAACTCCGTACTTCTATATTCGTTTGCTAATTACATCTCATAGAAGAGGTTTTAGGCTAGTTGTCCCTAAACTTTTTCAGATGAGGGCCTCACAGACACTTTTGGTCCACTTTGAGTGGGCCGCACTAATAACGTTAGTCAATCTGAAATGGGTCGCATTGAAAAAAAACAAAACATTTCTGCATGGTCAATCCTTTATCTTGCCATCGATTTCTTGGTTAATCACCTCTCATCCGGGCAGTCCCATTTGATAATAAGCGGCAATCGAAAACTGCCTATTCCTAGTGTATCCTGACACACTTCCACTTCATACCCATGGAAACTGCTACGACTTGGAGTAAGGGCTCGTGTAAACATATCGGTTCAACGTGCTGCTTTGTTACAGATTGCATTTTTGATAAAGACTCCATTTTCTCTCCTTAACTTCATTTACTTGCTAGGAAAGGCATTTTTCTCTGTGGGATATGGATGCTCGGAATTGTAGGCATGTTCAGAAGGTGCACGCCTGAATACATGAGCATCTAATTGTAAACATGGACTATATGTAACTAAATACCTAAACAATGACTAAACTTGCGGGTTTTCAATGAAGGAATCCAAATCTGGAATTTAAAAAAGTGTTTATCGCCGTTATTCATAAGTGCTGATAAAACGGTTAAATGTGAGAACTCAGTTATTAGTTTATATTAGTGGATTGCATAAAACCATGAAGTGGGTCGCATGCTTTCCCTTGGGCCGCACTTTGAATGCCCCTGCTGTGGGCCCTACATATCATCAAGAGCTGGTAATTGCATTGATTGTTCCTGTATGGTGAAAGTCAAACCCTCTTGGGATAATTCAATCTCTGACACTTTTGGGTCCCCTCCATACCTCCATAGTGGGTGGCGCCACTGTGCAAGATGGCTGCAGCTTTCTCAGTGCTCTGACTCAGTTTTTCTCTCTCTCTCTACTATTGCTCAAGAAACCTCGATATCTCCTGTGATTTTATTTCTGTGATCAACGGACATGACCCTAATCATGTACTCCAGAACCAAACTGTTGGAACTGCTAGATGGAACGACAACACCCAAGTGCCAGCCCTGTGTCACCAGCAAAACGAAACACATTATTAAGGGACTGAGACTATGTCGAATTCGAGGCTGTAGGGCCGGAAAGCTCCATAAGACCGCCCGAAGGATGAGGAAAATGAGGAAGAAGGTCCCTCGACTGCTCATCACCAACGCTCGTTCCATTTTCAACAAATTAGACGATCTTGAGGCCTTAATACAGTCCGAGAAATATCCCGAGTGTGTGATCATCACAGAAACATGGCAGGACGGGTCCAGAGAACTTTCTGTGTCTGGATATACCACCCACGAATCTTATCGAACCGACAGG